TTATCTTGTGATAATATATCTCTTCACATTGATCTATTCATTTGGGCACAGATCTTGGGTCCTTAAACATGGAGGAGCAGACTGGTTTCCATGTCACCCTCTTTATCTCTAAAAGTTCTTGACAGTTATTTCAAATTTTTTGGCTATTGAGATAATTCTGAAATATAGTACATATATCTATGGAGAATTCTATTTGCTTATTATGACTATATTAAGACTTTAAAGGTAGATGCTAATCATATAGGAGAAAGATGCTCATTTTTTGGTAATAGAGAGAACATGTTAATCATGTTTATTCAAACATGGTTTAGTGTTTTATATGGTGATGCTTGAAAGTGAGTTTCATAGTGAAATGAAGATTAGTTTTTCCATTTCCTTAAACATTAAGCAGAAACTTGCCCTTTTATATGCTGCCTATAACCTATGCTTACCTCAAAATAATATTTTCATGAAGCAAAATAATTAATGGCAACAAAATAAAACCAAGATATATGTGATAAATTTACTGTTTTAAATTTTTGTGTCTTTTTTCTTGCTTTTTCCTTAATAACATTTATATATAGATAGATAGATAGATAGATACATATATATATGTATGTATATATATATATATGTATACTTATGGAAACATAATGTCTCATTGTAAAAATGTATTATTGTTGAACTAGTCTTCTGTCTATGGACGTCTAGGCTGTTTTCAAACCTTGTCTATGTCACATAATATCGTCATGAAGGATATATTTAAATAGTTATATGAGTATGAAAAAGTATATTATCCACAAGACATAGAAATATACAACTAGATCTAAATGATTGTACAGTTGTACTTTTGACAGATGTGGTTAAATCACTCTCTGTGGACAGTGCTAATTATTCTTCACTATATAGACATACTTGTTAAACTTGAAGCATGATTGATGGTAATTTATCTGGACAATAGTGAATTAGACTACTTAAGATCTATACTTCTATTTCTGATAAGCCCATAGAAAAGCACATAGCCTCAACATTTACAAAGATTATTACTTAACTCTATCATTGTGCTTTGAATATGAAATGCTTCCCCCCCCCATTGTGTATGGCAAACATTCTGTAGCATCTTATGGACTTTGGAAAGTGATTGGATGGATTCATAATTCAATAGCAATGCTAGGGCATTGTGAAAAATAAAAGCAGGGTACTCATTATAGGAAGCCAGTGTATCTTTGAAAAAAAAAAAATATATATATATATATATATTTGATACTATATATATATATATATATTCTCCTGCCCTTTCTCCTCCTACT